TTTGCAGTAATCATAAGAGAACTGGTGATTCCACAAGCTATGAAGAACTATTTTTGCAGAGCTTGGCTGGAGGGAAAGGACTATTCTAAATACTAGAAGGCATGAAGTGTGATTATCTATGTTATTAAAGCATCAGATGAACCTGAAGAAGAGGGTAGGCCGGAGCATACAGGCTCATGTAGACTGTGGATTTAAAGAGAAACAGAGATGGGAGGAATGGGCATTTCAGACAAAGAAGTGACATAGCATATGATATTTAAATGTAGATGCTCCATCTCTTTCTAATATCCTACAGAAGCAATGAGCTGATATTCAGATCCCAAGAATGGAGCTTCACCCCTCCCACATCTATAGTACTTCTCCAGTAGCTGTCCCATTGTGAGAAAGCTATGCTACTCCTACTGCAATATGTATGGCCAGTGCACATCTGCTTTCTTCCCATGGGACTCTGCTCTCATTGTGCTTCCTTTCTACCTATGACTACCTCTTTACAAAGCTAATTTCTTTCTCAAGCTTCCAAGACACAGAAGCTAAAATGTGCTCCAACCCGTTAAATCCTTCCTTCAACTCCTTCCTAGTCATTTCAGTAAAATCTCTCCCGTTTTTTATTCCATTCATGAGTTTATGTAATGACCTTAGCACAGGTGACAGTTCCTATGATAAAATTGGAATTAAGAAGAGGTAGGCCACAAGAATAGAATGGAAAGGTAAAACTGAACAGAATCAAAAGATACTGTATTATCACAAGTTTCTAAAGCTATGCAAAATAATTTCTGGAGGTGCCTTCAAATTTTGTCTCTAGCTCCTCGTTTTCTTCTAATTAAGTTTTCTTTGTTAATAATTGACTTAGAGAAGCCATGCGGGAGGACTAACAGCAACATCCAAAGGCAATACTTGAAATTAAAAACGCATTTAAAACCCACCATTCTCTTCTGCTGCATCACTGTGATAACTGTTATGTTCATAGCAAGTATTTAGTATCCAGTCTAAAACTGGGTTAACCACCCCGATGGACTAGTATAAGACTACACCCTCTTTTCAGTGATTTGAAGTTGCCCACAGGAATTGAGAACTGAACAGTCTCTTCCCAACTCGCACCTGAAGATGGAGAGAAATTACATAAATGACGGAGCGTATTAGAATCTCAGATGCACACTTAGGTTTATTAAAGTAACTTCACCATTTAAGGGAAGGGAATCAGCAGCGTTTACAGCACCCTCTCTAAAGCCTCTGGAGCTAACTATAAAACAAGCACTTGTGTTCAAAACGCTTTGTTCCATTTTTTTAAAAAATCAAAGAATTTTCCAAATAGAAAATTCCATTTCTAGAGTTTGAAGGTTTATTACAGCAACAGCTGTTGAGTTCATCTCAAATTGGACAAAACCATCTAAGTAATCATTTACAGAATAGGAAAACACTAATAAGGGGAAAAAGGCAGGGCCCTGCCAGCAGTTGGAGTTTATGTAGAGAGAAATAGAATATACAACTGGAGAAACAAATGCATGTTTTTCAGTGTGGTTAGTATGTCTGCTCTGATACAAAGTAATAAAGAAAAAAGGCTTAAATTAAAGGCTGAAAATTATGAGTTTTGTTAAAGAAACTTTAATTAAAATTCCACCCTACCTTTTTTTTCCTGCCACAATGTATTATTTTTAATTTTTTAAATTTGGAAAAAGTGTGATAAAATATTATATCCAAAATATACTTATACCAACATTCCTGTGGATAGTAAATAAATAAAATATATTTAGTTATCTTGAGTTGCAATGAAATCCTTTAAAAAGTGCCTTTTCCTGTTTCAAAACTGTTATACAGAATGAAATCATTGACACCAGGAAACTGATATTTTGAACACAGCACTTATGAGCCTGAAGATCAGATTCAAAACCACAGAGCAACAGTTACTTCTGCATGGGACAAGAAACATACTTACCTACCAGCCTCACAAGTGAAAAGATTCTAAGAAACTATAGCTTAATTTCAGTTATCTTAGGAAATGGCTAAAAATTAAAATCTAAAAATTTAAGGCTTTTAATAACAATGTATCAAAGAATAGCCCCTGACTCCCTGCCCTAACCACACTGACCATGTCTTAGCATCACAGATGCACATAGCACTTGCAATGCACAGAGCCATAGCAAAAGTTCCTTCTGCTTACCACCTTTACTCCCATACTACATCCAAACATCATCATGTAGTTTTTCTCAGCAAAGAAACAACTCAGTAACAACCACTGTGAAAAATATAAAGAATTCAGGAAGCAACAAATCAAGCTTCTTAAAAGATACTGCTTTCATGAGGATAACTGAAATAAAGCCATGGAGCCACACAGTGGCGGTGATCTGTCGAAGGACCCTGCAGTTTTGAAGTTGGCTCTCAAATTAGAGCAAGAGGGGAGGTGGTACCATTCCTCATCTAAGATCAGGCCTTCCAAAAGGTACTGGATGAATGAAGCCTATATCCTGTTCCAGTCAATCAGAGACACGAATCTGAACCATAAACCATTCAAATAAATATGTATTTATTCTTGTTTCCCACAAAGTAGAGGAGGGGCTGAAAAGTTGCCTTGCCATGCTTTCTCCAACCAGCAGACAGAAACACTGCAGCAATATAGCAGTGTACACGCACGCGCACATGGAAGTATCAACTACAGCCTCTCTAGAACTGTGTTTATGTGCATGACTGCACATGCATGTGTGACCATGTGTATGTGGCACACAGGCTCTGGCTGAGAACAGACTAACTATGCAGATGCTTGGTGGTGCAATCTCACAGTATACACATGGCATCTCAGCAGGGAGCTGCCATGACAGCATTTGGGGGGTTTCTCATCTTCCCAAGGTTACTGTGGCATGTGCAATACCCTGGAATTCTCTAGAGGTGAGTTCAGTGGACACAACTGCTATAACATATCTTAGGGATAAGAAAAATTTAGAACAGGGATTCTGGGATGCACTATCAGAAATAGACACAGACATTTCTAAAGACTGGCAATTTAGTCGGAAAGCCAGTGACTGGCAAATAGATTTCTGGTTAAGGGTCCTACCTGTTTTTCCAAGGTCACTGAAAAATTAATAGGAGACCATTTAAATCAGAATTACAGATAGAAAACATTTATTAGTTTCACATGGAATTTGAAAGCAAGGGGTACACCTGTCTAATTGCCCCTGCAGAGGTTCATTAGAAGCAGCTGAACCCATCCTGTCTTCTCTGATCCCACCAGTGCGAAGATAACATCCTCCATTAAATAAATTGGGCAAGCTAGCCACAGTGCTACTTCAGCTCAACACCAGTCTTTGTTAGAGTTCCCGTTTCAGTTTCTGCAGCTCAGATAAGCTTATCTCAGGGCTTTGAGCTGATGTTCCGGATGGCACAAGAGACCTGACTACCAGAAGAACCACTAATGAGCACCAGAAAATGTTACCCCCTCCAACGGACTCATGGGATAGTTTCAAGCCCAGAAGTAAAAGGAAAGGTCCTCATATTTCCCATGGAAGGTTAGAATTGAATCGAATGTATGCAGATGCATTTCAATACATCTTTTGTAAAATTTAGCTATCAAAATAGTACGCTTCTATAGACAAGTTTTTTTTTTCTGATGAAGATAAATCATGTGGGCTTTGAATTGAAAAGTAGATAAGTTATACTCTTTCTGTTTGTCTTGCCTTGCTAGTCAAAGATTAAATTCATTTAGAATTAACTAAAATTGATTTAATCATAGAATCTTAACAATCTCACTTAGCTCTCTGAACAGGCTCTAAACAGAATGATACACTGCCTCCATTTAAGGCTATTTCCCCAAATCTGTGAGCTTTTACTCCAGAATTATTCTCTCCCTAGAGTCACACTAATGACATTTGACATGATGACAGAGGGGGGAAAGGGAGGGAGGAAAGGAGGAAGAGAGGGAGGTGGAAAGAGAGAGCGAGAAGGGGGGGCTTCACTGGTTTTGTTGTAACCATCTTCCTTTTATTCCAGTTTGGTAAACTGCTAAGGTCCACTGCACACTGGCAACTGGTAGGACAGACCTTGGCTTTAGGTGGCTGATCTGAGATCCATTATGTACTGGATTCTGCATTATAACATCTAACCTGGGTACAAAATTTCTGCCTGTCATCATAGGAAAGGCCAGGAGTTTTACACCATCCTGTAATGTGAAAACAGAAAATCAAAACCAGCATAGAGCTGCCTGCTTCTTCTCTGACCAAATTGTTGCTTTTCCTGAGGCGGTGTTGGCTGTCACTGTCTTAGACTGGGAAGGGCAAGTTGGTAGAATAATATGTAGTTTAAATAGCATCTCCCAGGGGAAGTCCTTCCTCACACTTAGTATTAAATGCAGTAAGATAATCAGCAACTAATCATTTGATGCTCAGCTAAGAACCATTTCCTCTTTGAACTAGTCTGATCCTGATGAAGGTGCCAAGAGGCCCAGGTATTTTTCTTAAATCGTTCATTCTGCTGCAATGACAGCCCCCATAAAACTCCAGTTTATGAACCAAATTTGTTGCACTCTTCACTCCAATATTATAATGCAAACCCCAGAGATCAGAATATCTTGTAAGATATGTAAGCAGTTCACTGAAAACACCAGCGTAGATAACTCCGTCGATGACCTCTTGTCTAATATCAATTTCAGAAAATACTTTCCATTGCAAAGATTTAACCAGCATGCTTAACCTACCACAAAACCCCTTATCTTGTCCCCCAACTTGTTTGGTCTGAGGGCTTCTTCTTAGCTGTCTCAGCTTCCTGCAAACACTTAGGCTTTTCTCTTTTCAAAGGGGCTGGGAGCTGTGGAGGTTCTGAGCTAGACAGAAACCCTGTGGTTTGATTCCATTAGTCTAAGCCCGGGCCCAGTTGCAAGCAAGCTGCAGTATCTGCTTGCAAAAATCCTGGCAGCCAGGTTCTAGACAGAGACACCACCGGCTGTATACATTCTTCCATACTGGTTTACCCAAATCTTGCCTGGAGCCAGCCAACCACAGCAGAGAGAATCCTACCTTCCATCATGGTGGCAGAATTGCATTCCTTAATTTCCAAGAAGTCAGAAAAAACACAGGAGGATACACTTCCAGGTCCCAGCTAAGTCCTCACAAAGCTGCCGCTGAGGTCTGCTCTGTTGCTGACAAGCCAAAGGAGACAAGTGTTAACCCGAAAGACAGGCCATGAATGCTGCTGGTGCTGCTTCACCTACAGTCTCCCAGGAAGATGCTGAGAGAGAAAGGCAGAGGAACAGCAAGCCGGCGAGCTGCACCGCCTGCGCTGCCTTGGCCAATCCCTTTAGCTCTGGACCGCGTCACATGGTAGCCAGCCTGCATCTCCTGACACAATACCCCCGGAGAGCGCACGGAACCCATTTCCCTTCCCCATTGCTCGCCACCCCCACTGCCTCCTGCTCCTCTCCAAACACACAGCCCCTTCCCCACCTGGTGACGCACTTCCCCCGCCCCTCCTCGTGGTCCTCGCAAGCCTATTGCGGCTCCGCGGCACCCGATGATCTGAACTGCCACCCTGACAGAAGATGCCAGCGAGAAAAAAGCCCAGGAGGCTAACCCAGGGTATTTTTCTTCTCGTTTCCCTCTCTTTTATTTATTTTTTAAAGAAAACACTTCTTAGTAATTCCAGATCTTGACAAAACACTTTTACATTCCCATTCCAACCTCGGTTTGACCTGAAGGAATTTCAAATGTCAGCGCCCGGCCTCTGTGCACATCTGTCATCTGTGGCTGGCTTGCGCTCTCTTTCAGTCTCTCGGCCCCCCCACCCCCGCGTCCCCTCGCCCCGTCTCTCTGTCTAGGTGTCTCTGTCTCTCCTTGTGTGTCTCTTCCTCTCATTCACGAGAGAAAAATCAATTCGCTGACGTCACATCATAAACAACCATCCCCCAAAGGATGATGCAGGGAAAAAAATTCACCCTAGCTGCCTTTGAAAGGAAGCAGGAAATTAATTGCGCATGACATGCCCAAGGGCTGGCAACTGTCATTAAAACAAAGAAACAAAAGAACCCACCCGATTCGGGCTCTGGAATCAAACCGGCGATGCTCCAGCTCATTTCTAGGGCGAGAGGCGGGAGAGGGGGCTGAAGGCAAGAGCCTAAGCGTTGGCCGCCGCAGGCGTGTGCGCGTCGCCTCCACGCACTCCGCTCTGCAGCCGCGACCCCGGGGCTGCAGGTCCCGCTGTCACCGCGTCCTCTGGCGGAGCTGGGCCGACGGTCTCCCCAGGTGGGGAGCCTCGCTTGCAGCCTCGGCTACAGCTGCCAACTGCAGCCCCTGTTACACGGCACGTTTTGCAAGACACGCCTCCAGCGGTCTTCAGTCGCCTAGGAGCCCAGTCGTTCACCCCAAGGGAAATCCAGAGGAGGACAACCGTTCCAGGTTGTGCTGGAGGAATGGGCGGACCCTGGGGCTTGGCAACTTGCTAGGATGGGATCTGCCTGCCTGGAAAGGTTCAGGCACAAAATCTGGTGGAGCTGAAGGTCTGTCTCCTGAGTGCTCTCAAGAGCCCTAGGAGTCCTTCAAAGGGAGGGACTCCCAGGCCTGGTGTCCTGCCATGCTGGGTTTAACCAGGCCAAACAGCCAGGCAAAAAGAAATAAATTGAACCGAGTAAGGAAGGCCTATGAAAGTGTAGGGAGCAGATGATGAAGATGGGAGGCTAGAGAAAGGTCTCTTTAAACTAAGAAAGAATAGCAGAAGCGGGGCGATGAAAATCCCTTTATTGAAGATCAGATCAGAATCTCTAACTATAGTACTGACCATTTATAACACCCTCACTTAGTATAACCCCGATCTCAACACAGTCTGGCTTTTTCCTCCAGAGGGAACATGAGATACTGGTGGCTGTGAAATACTAAAGAGGTCAAGCGAGGAGATGACTTAGTCAAAATCGAAAAGCAACTCAGTTCCTTAGCAACTTACAAGGTTTTTAAATAATAATAATAATAATAAATAATGCCTCATTGTTTCCCCTCAAGGAAACATCTTTCTGTGGCTTCTGCATTTAAAAATTAAAGTCTCCTGAGAGATGTACTTGCTTGTGGCTTTTCCCCTATGTCTATGAGGCAGTGGAGTTTTAAAAGGAAGAGATTACAAAGTAACACATGTCTTAAGGACAAGTTGATCTGCTCTGAAAATTACAGTGAGTTATTGCATAAAGGATGTATGTGTGTGATTAGCAATTATTTTAATGAAGATTAACAACTTGGATGGACACTGGTGTCAAACAGAGTGGAATCCTGGCTCTTCTTCACTAAGGTCTGAGACCTTAGGCCAGTCATGCAACTCTGGACTTTGGTTTCTTACCTATAAAATGGAGATTAGAATAATACCAAGTCCACAACCTTGTAAACCAATGGGCTCAACCTGTGGGCCATGAGCATTCTTTTTTTAATCAAATGATAGGAGTTACATAAGACCATCAGAAAACGCAGATATTGGCATTGGGATTCCTAACAGTAGCAAAAGTACAGTTATGAGGTATCAACAAAAATAATTTTATGGTTGGGAGTTCCCACAACATGAGGAACTGTATTAAAGCTTTAGGAAGATTGAGAACCACTGCTATAAATAGTAATAAAGCAAATCTGTGGTAATGTCTTACTATATCCCCAGAAGTATTCCGATACTCTGCTAGAAAGTTCCTCAGTGTTGTGTCTACAGCTTTGTTATGTCCTCCATGTTAGCTTTGCATAATTAGTATCACTGACACAGAGGGGCTGGCACATGTGTCCAGAAGGTTGCAGCCAGAGACCTGAATGCACAGAGAGCCACACCCACTGAGAACAATGGTGAAAGATAAGGTGAGGCAGAGGGCCAGCTTGTTGGAGAGGCCCGAAAAGCTGCTGAAGAGGAAGTAGAGCCAAGCAAGACTAATTGGGAAAATCCAAGGCTGATGGAATTCTAAGATAGTTCGGGGGGAAAATGGAGCAAACTTGAGGTGGATGTTATAAAACAGATAAGGAACTCTTAATGGCGAAGGTCGGTTGGGTGAAGTCTGCAGACAAATGGAAGCAGGAAATGCAGGAGATGGACCATGGCTGCAAATAACAGGGAGAGTCTGCTGCCTCTGCTCCCAGTCCTGCCTCTACTGTAACAGAGTGGAACCTCTCACATTTACTGCAAGCTCAAACCAGTTTGGTATTAGGATTGCAACAAGACTAATAGCTAGACAGAAAGATATATAAACAGCCAGGAAGTATGTAAAAGATGCTCAAAGCCACTAATTACCAGGGAAATACAAAACCAGTTAAAATTGTCTACTAACAATAAGACAAAAACTTAACAGATTCTGAGGGAAAGTTGAGAAAAGAGAACTCTTGCACATTGTTAGTAGAAGTGCAGTAGTAAAAACAATAGAAAGCTTGTTCTACCTGGCAGAGGACTACTACATGGTCTGGCAGTTCTATTACTGCATATATATATATGGAAGAAAAGTAGTATGTTAAAGAGACATCTGCACTTACCTGTATATTGTGTTATTACTGGCAATAGTCAAGATATGGAATCAGCCTAAAAATGTCCATCAACAAGTAAAGTCAACAAATTTTGTTCTTAATATATTTTGAAAAGTTTTAATGTACATAGTAACATTGTACATATTTACAAGGCACAATGTGAAAAGTGCCTTATATAAGTGAAAAGATATAGCATGCCTAGTGATTAGATCAAGGTAATTTATACATCTGCCATCTCAAGAAGTGTGTGTGTGTGTGTGTGTAAGAGAGGGGAGATTTGAAATCTTTCCTACTAGTTATTTAGACATACATGACTATGATCAATATAATCAATCATATGACTCTACTTAGATCACAGACTGTTAGAAGTTACACTTATCCAACTGTAGCTCCCCCCCCACACCTGTTAACCATCTTCCCTTCATCCGTTCCCTTACAGTTACCTGCTGCCAGTAACACAGTTCTATTCTGTACATCAGTCAAATCAAATGGTTCACTTCCACACATAATGAGAATATGTGGTATTTATCTTTCTGTAAAAAAGTCTTGAGGGACTTTATGTTACCTAATCTAATGTCCTGCAACCTTCCTCATGTTACAGTAAGTAGCTGTAGTATGTTTTGATTAATGAATAATCCATTATATATATATATGAATAAATACACATATATGAATAATCATATATGAATAATCATATATATATATACATATATATGAATAGTCATATATGTATGTGAAATTTTCCTTAGCTGTTCATTTGCTGATGGACACGTAGGGTGATTCCATATCTTGACTATTGCCAATAATAATACAATATACAGGTAAGTGCAGATATCTCTTTAACATACTGCTTTCCTTCTTTCTGTACACACACACAGAGACACACACACACACACACACACACACACATATGCAGTAGTAGAACTCTCAGACCATGTAGTAATCCTTTGTTAGGTTGAACAAGCTTTCTATTGTTTTTACAATTGCACTTCTACTAACAGCATGTAAGAGTTCTTTTCTCTTGGCTCTCCCTCAGAATCTGTTGTTTTTCTTATTAATAGACAATTGTATTTGGTTTTGTATTTCCCTGGTAATTAGTGGAATTACACATCTTTTACATACCTCCTGGTTGTTTATATATCTTCTTTTAAGAAAGGTTGATTCAGAACATTTGGCCAATAATTGCTATTAATAATAATAATATTATAATTAATAATAATTATAGGGAAAACTAAATGTGAAGCTAGGATTGCCTCAGAAGGACCAACAAAGAGGTGTGTAGAAAAAGTGCTCAGGTCAGTCCTGAGGCCAGATACATCTCTTCACAGCTTTATCAGCTGTTTGTGTCCTTTAAAAAGACGATGCTATTATCTCAATTATAAGAATATCCAAGGAACAGATTTCCATTTCACATTTAAAACATACTCAAAGATGTTGTTAGAAAAGTTCAAATACCTTGGCTTTATCTCCTCATGTTTTTTTTAGGGGAACATGGTTTTGCTCAAGAACATAAGCGGTGCTTTAGGTTATGCCCAAAATTTCTCACTTTTGGAGATAGCTCTTTCTTTGATGACAAGCCCCAAAGAATTTCTTGCTGCTGAAATAATAGGATTTTTTTCCCCACAAATTTGGCTGAAATTGTAGTCGAAAGATCATGAAAAAAAAAAAGGGCTTGATGGCTGGCTAGCATCAGAGCACAAGCATTGCATGGGAGCCCTGTTCAGGATGACAGAAATAGATCCAAGACACACTAGGCTTACAGATCAGGTCTTTGGCCGGCCAAAGGCCAACAACCCAGGTGCTGATGTCACTAAACATTGGATTATGTTTCTGAAATTAGGTTTGTATTGGGGTAATGCTTCATTAGTTATCAGTGATTTAGAATAGGATTCCAGTTTGGTTTGGTGGCCAAGACTTCAATTCTAGTACTCCAAAGGAAGGTAGAGCTGTGAGTTCATGGCCAGCCTAGTCTACGTAG